AGAACGAAGGCACCCGCACCCGACGGGCAGGACGTCCGGCTCGACTAGGCCGATTCAACCTCAGGACCACAAGTGGCTAGCCGAGGGCACCGCCGAAGAGGACACCCGTAGTCAGCGGGACCGAAGAGAGCAAAGACGCCGACGAAGAGAGCGAAGACGCCGACGTCGACGGAGCCGCACACAGCGCCACGCTACGAAGAGACGCTGCAGAATGCAGAGAAACGAATGGACACGGGCACATCGAAGCCCGCACACCGAAGCCATCGAGGGCGCCGACCCCACCAGCTCCCCCCAAGACTCACGCCGAAGGCATCCGAACGAAGCGAGCGCGCGCGGCAGCCCCCCGGGCCCGTGGGCGACGTCGCGCCGACGGCCAAGCACTGCAAGCTCTCGCGCTCGGCGCCCCGCCGCCCAATCGACGCGCGCAGCGGGGTGCTCCTCCCCGAGCGCCCCCCGGAGCCGACGCGGCGAGCCCCACCACCGGCCGCTGCGCGAAACCACCCCCGCGCACCCTCCGAAAGCCGCCCCATAAGCTTCGGCGTTATCATTGATGACGTTGCACGGCAAACCCCCCGGTGTGTTAGAAACAGGGTCCCTCGACGATGGCCGCGAGTCGGGGTGTGTTGGAAACAGGGTCCTCGACGATGGCCGCGCGTCGAGCCGCGCGCCGCTGCTTGTGCCTCGCGTGCCTCGCTGATGCCGCTGTGGCCGCCGTGCGAGACAAGCCGTGCGGCAACGGCGTGAAGTTCGGCCGCGGCGCGACATCCTATGAAGACCTAGGGTGGCAGCGGCTCCCAGAAGGCCGGGCCCGTTTGACCTTCCTCGCCATCGCGAAAAGCTCGACGCGCCACACGCACGAGATCCTCAAGAAGGCCGATCCCACGGTACACAGCCACCACCTGCATCCGCTGTCGCGGGCCGACGGCGGGTCCATCGGCCGCCCCGCACTTCACCACGTCGGGTGCGGCGGGAACGCGACGCTCGTCGCGGCCTGGGCCGCGCTCTTCCGCGCGCCGCGCCTCGTGCTCGCCGTCGTCCGCGAGCCGATCGCGCGGCTCCTGAGCGAGTACTCGTTCAACCAGAAGTTGCACGACGGGCTCCGGCGCGAGGCGCGGCCCCTCGCGCCGAATTCCACGTTCGTCGCCGCGGCGACGCGCCACGCGTTCCTCGACGAGCGGCGCAACTGGCAGACGGCGTTCCTCTCGCGCCTACTGCGACCCGGACTGGGCCGACCCGGCCAACGCGGCGACGCGCGGCGACCTCGAGGTCCTCGAGCGCGCCGCGCGCGCGGGCACGTTCCTCGTGGGGCCGCTCGAGCGCCACGGCGAGCTTCTGCGCGTCCTCGCGGCGCGCATGGGCTGGACGGCGCCCGCGATCA